ATTAATGACTACATCAACACAAGTGATTACATCATTAAGGACGTTTATTTCTTTGGTTTCTTTGCTCTTTTTTGAAAAGGCAACACCCTGGAATAACAGCACCTTCTTTTTAAATTGTGAATTATTTAACTGTAGAGTAGATTGTGTGGTGTAAAATGTGATGACAACCAATTTCTTCTTGGCATCACATTTTGATTAACCAGTTGATTTATACCAAGAATATAGGCCTGACTTTAATAATAATTGCATCTATATATTACTTCCAACCGGTCTGAAAACCACGTATCTACATTTTGTACACAATATATAGGTTTCCACACCCCAACTATATTGCTGCAGCAATTATAGTTTTGCAATTCTCCTCATTTTAAATAATTAGAAAAAGGTTTACCTATGATTAGTCTAATACCTTCTCTTCTATGCTTGACTGCCTCCTGGCACTCACATGTAGCTCTCAGAAAACAACCCCAAAACAATGTAATGAACCTGATCCGAGAGCCTTTGGGAGGAGAGCTGAGTGTATGCCCCAGGGCCATGGAAAAAAGGCAGGGAAAGGGAGAGATGGAAGGATCACAGTGCAACAGTAAATAATGTTACAGTATGAATAATGAGCTCCCTCTGAGCCGGGGCCTCAACTGGACTAATAGCAGAGACCTGGTTTAGATTAGGTATTGCACAAATATATACACACACACAAACCTGACTGTCAGGAGGGACGTCATATCAGTCTAGATAATCTGTTGCCCTCTGGAGCTCTGGGTTCTGCTCTGGGACAGCTAATATAAAGGAGGAAACAAAGGAGGTAGAGGGCATCACACACACCTTTAGTCAACCATACATCCTTTCCTTTGAATTATATGTCGTCTTTTTCCCTCTGTTGGTCTTCCCATAGTTTTCTTCTGATAAGACTGAGCCTCAAATCTCCCTCAGCAATGAATCTGTTTGTCCAGAGCTACACAATATTTGATAGTCACTTTTAAATATTTGATAGTGCAGGTCTGCCATCTGCTGTCAGTAGTTGGTTATTTTTAATAAAACAGACACGCAATGATATGCACATGGTTTATTAACAAAACAAAAACTCCAGTTAGTTTTCAGCTTCAAAATCTCCCATTAGACATACTTCAAAACCATATACCTTTTATTTTAAACAGCAAATGTTAAACTTGCTTACTGAGATGGTTACATTTCCAGCTGTTGTCTAAACAGTAACCTTTTTTATAGCAGACTCTTTTTAGACCAGTCTCTGGTTGTGTCCACACCGTCTGGACAAGAAAATGTTTTAAAACAAATAATTTCAATGTACATGTTGGAATAGTATTACTAAGTGGAAATCTGTGAATCCTAACTATCAAAATAGAAATGCTGCAACTTTAAATAAAAAAACCTATATGACCATGCTTCATCATGTATACATCTACATATAACAATAGTGTATTTATATCTAGTCATACAAGTCTCTGTCAATGTGCTCGGTTTCTTTGTTTAGTAGTAAAATAGTATATTCTGATTCCGCCACTCAATCAAGATATGCTAATAATTAGGCCGATTTAGTGAACATAAAGTGTTTCTGCAAAAACATTTGGGTGACCACCACACACTCTTATCGTCTTGGCTGTTTTAACTGATGCCAAAATCATTGATACTGGAGTTAAATCTAAGCCAAGCACTTCGCTACTGATTCGTGTGACTTGAACCGCTTCCTCCTGGGTCCTTTCTAGGTGTCAAAGTGGCTCTGATGGTTTGTTGTTCCAGTCTCAGTTCACATCCTTCCCGCAGCTCCTGGCTCCACTTGCAGGGAGAGAAGAAGGCGAAGCAGTGCTAAAGTAGGTGAGAAGGCATCATAACTCAAAAGTCTGCCTCTTCTTCTTCTTCCTCATCGCTTCTCCAGCTTCTTGAACCTGGCCTCTGTAAAGATAACAAAAGACAGGGATGTGGTCACTATTAAGCTAATGGCTGTTCATGTTCAAATGCCACACAATGTGGTATTGGTTCCCTCTCATTGAAGGCTTAACATTTTCTCTTTAGGGATTGACTGTGATGTCACAGCACCATCTGCTGGTGGACTTCATAATGCTTTGCAATACGAGCTGCTGGTCTTGACTGCATATACCAGACAAAATAGCCAGCAAATAGAAAGGAAGCTATTCTATTTGTGCTGTCATGATGGGGCTCTGCTCTCATTGACAAATACAAACAACACATTCACTAACGACAGTTAAGTAAATTAAGCACATTTTGGAGTTTTACAAATACTATTTTGACCAACAAATGTTGCAATCATTTCAATAGAATAGCCTCACTCAATAGATTATTGTACAAAACATATTATACATACGACATAACTTCTCTACATTAAAAGTCTTACCCAGTTTCTTGGAGTACGCATCCAGTTTGTAGGCACCCTGTTCCAGTGAAGACACTTGCTCTTCAATCTGATTTATCTGGTCCAAGTAGGGCTGTAAACTGGCATCTAAAGAAAACATACATACCCGCCATAAATCATTTATGAATACAAAAAAAAAGCCTTTGAGCAGATAATGTGTGTCACGCACATTTGTTGTTGAGATCCTGCAGGTTACGGCTGATGTTGATGCTAATGTCCTTCATTTCCATGTACTTCAGACTGGTAAGCTTATTCATGTTCTCCAACAGACGGTAATCCTCAGATGTTCCTGAAAAGGTAAAGACATATGCATGAGAGAAAATAACACAGAATAAATAAATATTCATCATACAGGTTTCCTAGACCTTTTCCAAAAGTAACTTCAGCACTTCAATGTGCATTTTTTTGCACATTACATCTGTGATTAATTCAATTTTGATATAATGGATACTTAATTATTACACTTCTCCATCACATTTATAGCACGTATCAGTGTGCTATAATCAACTCTGATGATGAGTTGTGGATTGCAGCTGTCTGTAGTACCATTGCAAAAGCACAATAAGGTATTGTCATCAGTAAATCAGTGCTATGGTTAAAATATGTTTTTTTAAATACCAGTTAGTTCTCCTTGCAGGACGATTGCCATCTTTTCAAACATGTCAGCGCATAACTCATTGATATCAGGCTCTGCAGGCTCCACAGCCTCCTCTGCTGTTTCCACACCACCATCACCTGTACACATTACAAGCATTACAGCAGGATAAACACAACATGCAAATCCAGTTCAAACATAACTGTCAACAATGGTTAAATAAAATAAATCCAAATATAGGAAAACATACAAGAGTCAAGAGATCGACAATGATGCTTTTCAATGCAACCATCACTGACAAGACAATTTATATCAGGCATCCTCAAAGTCCGGACTCCGGTCCGGATCCGGACCGAACCACCACTGTCTCTGGACTCTGAGCAAATTATACTTTTCATATGTATTATCTGTATAATCTGTATTATCTGTATTATCTGCGAGACACAACGCCNGATTCCTGGGATGGTTTGATTCACTTCGAGACTGTTTTTGCAATCTCGTGTTAAGAATCTTGTTACAATTGTTTAAAAGTTTGAATGACCGTATTAAACGGACCTTTGTCTTATTGAACATTTTCTTTGTGGACCTTTAAGATTTGTATTTGAGTACCCCTGATTTATATGATAACTGTATGCTGCTTTAGCATTAGCAAGCTACGGAAGCTGCGAGGCTCACTGTTTGTGCTGGTCTTTTTGGGAACAACAGCCGGAATTTCTGCTACGTCCTCCGGGGCTTCTGCTTGACTGCTGGAGGCTGCAGCCGCGTTCAGAGCCGCTAGCTGGGCCGCTGGAGCCCGGGAGATGCTGTCCATTGCTGCGGCGTCGTCTCCCGTTGCAGCCATTTTGTTCCTGTTTTGACTTGTGTCACATGAGCTGAGGCTCACGTGACATCCGCCCGCCACCACAACCACCACCCCTACTCGCGCGCATTGCCACGCCCTGATGAGGTTGGAATGTGAGGCATGTGCGGTTAATTAATATTTAATACTATGTTTTACTAATGTAACTATTATAACGCCCCTTTCAATTTGTATTTAATTACCCAGTGTAAACAAGAAGCAAGAAAAGTAAACATGTCCAAGGTTAGGACCTCGGTATTAAGTCATCTGTATGAAGGCTGCAGTCATAGCAATAGTTCAACCTTTTTCCATTTAATCAAGACTCAATGTAAAATAAATCAATTCATAAAAAAACACTGAATTTGAGAGTTAATGAATTACAACGTTTTTTACATTTTCTTTTAAATGATAAGTTCTTTATTACAATTATGCACAAGAGAGAAGCAGTCGGGCAATGAAAATCTCAGTATCCCTCCAGCATTTATTCAATGTAATTTACTGTAGGCTATTCAATACGTCTATTCTTTCCTTAAATAAAATATAAACGTTTTACTATTTATTTCCCCAAAAGTTCATTTTAATATACCATAACCGATATTTGCACTGTTTCCCTAAATTATAATCATTGTGTCACACACATCATCTGAAATACCCGAAGAGCTATACTTGGCAGCTAAATTAGTTCTGCCAAACCACCTCTCCTATCACAATTGGTTTTACCAGAATATATTGTCCTCTGATTTGTCATGAAAGTGTTGATTTTAAGAAGAAACAAAAAATGTAAGGAAATGAATTTCTCAAACGCACGCATCAATACCGAAGCCAATTTCTGCCAGTGCAAAACATAATAATAATAAAAGGTATACACCTATTTTAAAAAAAAGTCATTAACTTTACGAAAGCAAGTCTAAGTGATAACATGAGTTACATTTTTGCTTTAATAATAATAATTTATAATATTTGTTTGCTTTTAACTTAAATGTTTTAATATGCCTATGATTATTATGTTATTATTTATTTACTTGTCTTTTCTTGCAATTAGCTTCCATACATGATTAGTTAGTCCATGACAGTAAAATATGCCTCAATAAAAATTCTTAGAAATCACAATATGTTTGCACAACTTTTCCCTGTGCGCGCTCCCGCGAGAAGCATGCAGTTCTTGGCATGCAGAACTCGACACAACACCTGTGTCGGCGGCGCTGTTGTGGGGGAAGCTCGATCGTGACAGGCTAGCATCAGTGGACTGTAAACATGGCGGCGTGCACAGCTACAGGGCTGTGCCGAACACCCCGTTACTATTAGTCCGAGAGACGGGAGACAACACAAAAATGGAGACCGAAGAGGAGCAACACATCACCACGCTCCTCTGCATGGGTTTCCCAGACCCCGACGTGATAAGGAAAGCGCTCCGGTTAGCAAAGAACGACATAAACGAGGCAGTGGCGCTGCTGACAAACGAAAGCCCCGGACTCGGGTATGGATATGAGCCGATGGAGAGCGGGCCTGCCCCCGGCGTGGGCTCCACTGGAGACGGGGAAAGCAGCGGGCGGACTGGGACTGGAGGGTTTGATCCCCCACCCGCATACCACGATGTAGTGGATAGTGAGGTAAGAGCAACTAGAGTTTCACTAAGCATCAACTGAGTGCAAGAAGGAGCAGAACATGATTAGTTTCAACTTACTGGGAAACAGTGGACTCGCCCATTTAACTAGCTAAACTTAGCTTCAATGCTACATGCAGCCAACGTGAGCTGTCAGAGCAGGAGATGAAATACTCTCCCGTCCTACCGTACTGAACATGTCAGTGTTTAATGGTGACTTGGGAATTGTCTGTTAACATGAAGCCTTGCTACTTAAACTATGGACCTAACATAAATCGCTGCGGTTATTCTAAACTTACAAGCTAACGCGGCTAGCTAGTAGCCGGCTAGCTAACGTTAGAGAGTTGAACGCGCCAGTAGCTGGACCAGGTGCAGCAGCAGCAGCACAGAGGCATCATTCTGGAGGATTGCAATCACAGATTTTCACTGGCAGTACTATCCTAGTGGGTTATCAGTCCTATAAGTCAGCCTGTGGACAGTAAGGCTGTGTCATTTAGGTCTGATTTTGAAAGGTTAGCTAACGTTAGCTTCTAGGTTGCCTGACAGCGTCACCCGCTCCTACTGAGATTGCAGTCTAACCAACTCCAACCAGACTACAATCAGTTTCGCAATCCGTGTTCATTTTGATCATTCTTCAGTGAGCTTTATCAGCTGTCAACATAATTTGTTTTACTGGTTTATTATTAATAAAGAGTATTTGTTAGGATTGATGCATGAGATCATGTAGGGCCAGCCAGTGGTTCTGTCAGTGATTTACCTCCAGGTCGTATCATGTGGTCCGAGTTTGCTGTGTTTATGTGGTGTTGTAACAGTAAACTGCATTGGTCCTTCTAAACAAGACGTGTCAACATTGCTTTGACTGGCACATTGAGAAACTCGAGGATGTTTGCGTTCATGTACTTGACTTCCAGCCTGTTGCTCTCCTAGATCTCTCAAAATCTTGCAGGTACTGTCAACAGCTCTTAGAAACTCACAAATCATTTGACCTGGCAGATTATTGATTCAGACCTTCCAGCCACTTGTTGTATTCCTTTAATGGCTGTTTGAGCTGCAGTGATTATGGGTCAGCATAATACACATACATTACTCACTACCTTTCTTTCTCCTCTAAGTCTTTCACTGCTCTCACACTTTGATGAAGACGGTTATAGTAAGTGTAGTGTGAACAACAATTGGCACTTACAGCTGCAGGAAATAGCCCACACCTGTAGGTTACTGTAGATACTAAGCCTTATTTTGTATGTGAATAATGGAGTTGTTGCAAATCTACTTAGCCCAAAGTATACCATTTTCATCTTCAAATCTGTGTAAAAAACAAAACTCATATTTGTCATGAGATCTAGTAATTGAAGTGTCACCCCCTCATGGCATAGTAAAACATGCTTTATAGGGAATAAGAAGGATGAAAGTGCTTTATTTCCTTTCTTCACTTCCTCTGTCTGCTACATTTGTGCTAAAGAGGCATATCATAGGTCTATGGCCTTATGCTCCTAAATATAGCCCTGCAGTCTCCCTACACACAAACACATTGCAGTTTAGCTCGGGGACCCAGGAGGGTCGCAGGGTGCGTAGTAACAGAGTCGCGCTGAGATACCTCACCGTCCTGCGCAACAACAGACATGTGTTCTGGGCCTTGGAGCTCTAATATTTCCCCTAGGTCCTGAAACACTGAGAACTGTATTACACTTAGCAGCTTATTGTCATGTTTGTATGCACATTTGTTCTCCTGGTTAATGATTATTTGTGAGAGGAATGTTCTTCTCTTCCCTATGCTATCAGTGTTATTTAAATCAAAGGATCACATTCTGACCATTCAGTGAGTTCTGATTTGGTAATCTTTCCAGTAATAATATCTCTCCTCTTGGACACTAATTAACCTTATTTTCCTTTAAACCAGTTAGTCTCTTGCTCTCTTTCCTTCTGCTCTTCCATCTATCTGTCATTTGTAATTTTGCTAGAAAAGAGTGGTATGTAATATGATGCTTCTCTGTTGCCTTTTCCTTCCTTTGCCTTTCTGCTGTTATTTTCTTCTTTTAGATATCAGTCCCACCACTTTATATGTATCAGTATGCACTAAACACATTGACCATGGTAAATGCTGACATGGGAAAATATATTCAAAAATGGTCAGACTTAGCCCCTTGCCGTGTTAATTGGAACAAGCAAAATGGACAAATGATTTGTAGTGTATATGTAGTGATGGCTGAATCCCAAAGCTTAGTCAGCCTTTTAAGATTATTATTTAAATTCGTTGCACAATATCAGTGCAAACATTTGTCTCAGGCTGGTTTCAAATTATGACACGCTTTAGTGTAACACATGTGTTCTGAATCGTTCCACTGGTTAACACTTAAATTCAGAGCATGTACTTCTTCATTATAATCAGGAATATTCAGATGGTTTCATGAATATGTTAACAACTTTATGATGTAAATAATTCAAACACCTTTGTTTGCTCGCACCACATGAAGGGATAGAGTTTACTGCCACTGTCCATGTTCTGATCTCATAGCAATATTAGCCTGTACTTAGCATTGGGAATCATAAACACAAAACATATAAGAAGTGACTTTTGAGTGAGATGAGTTTAAACATGCTTTCATAGCCTGTTGAGATATGTCAGCAGAAAAGGTCACTGTGGGCAGCACCACTCTGCCAACAAGAGAGTGTCATGGCACAGTGTTCATTATATTCCACTTTAACTCACTCCCTGGCTTACCTGTATTTATTGCTTGGTAAAACACTTGAAAACAAGCCCCTGACTGGATTCGTTTTAAAAGCTTTGATGAGGAAATAGAGGGAGAAAAAGATGCAGGGACGAAGGGCAGATTGTGAGGGAAGGACATTTTCCCATTGACTGCTATCGCTCTTCTCCCAAAGGGCGGAAAAGAATCAAGCATCCTCCTGTCTGACTTTATCATTGCCAGAGGCCATTTGTATTATTAACCTCGTGCAGAGGACAGCTGCAGCGTCCTATAACAATGTCGGACTCGGGGACTATCTGTGTGAAATAAAGTCTCCCATTGCATTAGGTTGTAATTATGCCATGCCTGTGTGTTTTGCAGAGGAGCAATGATGAGAATGGGAACTGCTCAGGGGGCAGCATGGAGTTTCCCACCACCAACCTGTACGAGCTGGAGAGTCGAGTCTTTACCGACCACTGGTCCATACCTTACAAGAGAGAGGAGTCCCTGGGCAAGTGTCTCATCGCGTCCACCTGCCTCGCCCGGCACGGTAAGAACATGATTGTGTGGCATGACATTTGTTTTTAAAGGTCTGCTTTTCAAATAAATTCCCTCCATCTACGTATTTATGTGGGTGGTGTGTTTTGTTGGATTGTTGGGTGTTTTTCACATGTTGTTATTTTGGACACTTGCGTTACATACCTCAATCTGTCTCCTTCGTCACAGTTTTTTTTTCCATGTTAAATAAATATGTAAATCCAACATTTCCTTTACTGTCAGGTCTTGCTGACGCTGATGAGAACTGCAAACGATTTATCGACCGGTGCATGCCGGAGGCCTTCAAAAAGGTGAGCAACACAGAGATCTGAGAGACTGTGAAGTACTCAAGTCATTTAGAGACATGGTCCTGACTTCCTCCTTTCTGTCTTTCCTGTTCCCCATCACCAGTTGCTTACCAGCAGTGCCGTACACAAATGGGGCACGGAGATTCACGAAGGAATTTATAACATGCTCATGTTGCTGGTGGAGCTGGTAGCAGAGAGGGTGAAGCAGGATCCCGTACCAGTTGGCCTGATGGGAGTCCTGACTATGGTGTGTTCTCTCTCACTCTCTTAATATTTGCCTTTTTCTACTTTCTTTTTGTATTCTTTCTATATATGCATGTAAATAAATGACCCTTAAACATTTAGGGGGAAAACAGTTTTGATTAATTTTGTGTTGGTAGTTCAATTAAGGAAATGTCTTTAATGTGCTTTCTCAGTGAATTGAAGCTATCCTACTTTATAATTGTAGATTCATCTAAATCTTGTCAGTTTGTCAAAGGTATTGAACCACTTCTAACTAGGGCTGCTCAATTATGGCAAAAATCATAATCTCGATTTATTTGGGTCAATAATTGATATCACGATTGTTAAAAACGATTATCCATTTACTTTGAAAACATTCATTTATTGAAATATTTTTTTGAAAAGTATATTTTGAAGAGTTGATTACCCTGAACTTTAAGTATAAATCAACTGAAAAACCAATAAAAAAAAGTATTAAAAAAATAAATAATCTTTTTATTTCGATTATGTTGTTTTCATAATCGATTAATTGAGCAGCCCTACTTCTAACAGGAACTGCTTATGTCCGTTGCCTCTTTCAAACCAGACATGCGACATTGAGTAGTTGATATGTAATATATGTATATCCTGTTTCTTTGTTGCTGTGTCCAGGCCTTCAACCCTGATAATGAGTACCATTTTAAGAACCGGATGAAGGTCTGTCAGAGGAGCTGGGCTGAAGTTTTTGGAGAAGAGGCCAACATGTTTGCTGTGTCTCCTAGTAACAGCTATCAGAAAGTAAGAGGCAACTTGTGTGTCCAGATTCTTCCTGTACCCTTGAGTCCTATTAGTGTATATGTGCCGATTAATCCAGATGCACTTGCAAGTACGTAAAACACTCCCTTATTAGCCTTTGTTTAGTGTTCATAGTCATTCAGGGGCGGACAAACAAGTTCTTCATCCCCCGTGTTGTGTAACTGAGCCACAGGAGCTCAACAGAATATGTGTGACTGACAAACAACAGCTGTCAGAAAAATGTGTTTGTGTATATGTCACAATAATTTGCAGTGTCATTGCTGAGTAAATCCACTGAAAACAAACTTATCTGTTTCAGGAGCCTCATGGTTGGCTGGTTGATTTGGTGAATCGAGTGAGTAACGCGCTTCCAGAAATGGTTTCCATATACATATCCTATTATTGCATCAGTTTTGCCTCATACATTTCCTTCCTCTCTTTTATTTTCAAGTTCGGAGAGTTGGGAGGATTCACTGCCATCCAGACTAAGCTCAACATAGACGAAATTGAGATTGCGGTAAGAGCAACCATCCTTAGTTTGATCTTTTCCCCTTCCTGACAAATGGACTGACATATTTTAAGAGTAACGAGATAGTTGCTACCCTGGGGATGGTAGACAGACTTTGAGACAGCGTTTGCAGGCGAAAGGTCACCGTGTTTACCACCACTGCTCTCAGCTGCAGTGCACTGAATGTCTCTCTCTTTCCCCTTCCCACCAATACTCACTTACACACAAACACACCCTCTCATCCCCCCCCTGTGTGTGGTCAAAACCCTCTGTTGTGTTATGTGTTCTGAGGCATCCTTGTACTGATGCTTCCTTCTGGGAGCCTGGCCGGAACCACCGCAGTGCAAAGCCATTGATTCAGACGCACACATTCACACGCGCAAACACATTCGCTCGAACCATTAGCATATTAAAAAGGCAAAGACTACTCTCCAGTAGCAATGGGAGCTCAGTAGAGTGTGTAAGCTGTCAGATACCTAACATACCCCGAGGAAAAGGAGAGACGCAGTGAAAGTGAAAGGAGAAAAGATAATGGGAGTGCTCCACTCCTATACTGTCTCCCAGGGCTGAGTCATTCATTTGTCTTCTTTGAGCAGGAAGTCAAGTGCAGGAGGGGGAGGGGGGTTCACTGAGTGAATAGCGGATGAAGGGGAGCTCAGAAGCAGAAATGGATGATTGCCAGAAAAAAAAGAAACGGGAACCATTCATTAAGCTCCCGTGATTTAGCAATGAATGACAACTGACAGCTGGGTTCTGGTATTAGAAACTCAACCACACATCTGTTTACTCTCACTCACATGCACTGGTGAACACACAGTATCAGTTTAATGTGACCTTATGCCTTAACACTTCCATTTGAGATGAGTGATACACTGTATGTCTTCATGATAAGCCATTGAATGTGACACCCATAAATGCATCCCACTCACAGCTATGCAGGAACAATTATGTCGACACTCCTACAAAAAGAAAATGGAGTTGGAATGAAAGATTCTTATCATAGTTACCGGTAGTCACACTCAGCTGGTAAGGATCACTGGCTTCCTTTTTAGTTTGTGTCATGTTGAGTTGTTCTCCTTCCCTCTGATTACACAGTGTGTGTCGGCTCTGGTCCAGCCTCTGGGAGTCGGTGCAGAATACCTAAACTCCAGCCTCGTCCAGGTGAGAGAGACACACACACACACACACACACACACACACACAGACACAGACACAGACACACACACACACACACACACACACACACAGACACAGACACAGACACAGACACACACACACACACACGATGCTACTACTATTTGAAGATCTTAATTTAATATCCTTTTCAATTAGTTCAACTGCTGCTCTCTTCTTTCTCTTTGCTCCTTATTCACATGCTGCTTATTTATATTCTGTGTAACCTTGTTGTTGTCTGTTGTGTTTATTTATATGTCCCTCCTACTTATTTAAATGTGTATAATGTGCTATATGCTCTTACTGTTTTGCTGCTGCACTGGCCATCAACATTTCATATTGTTTTTCCTAGCCCATGCTGGATCCAGTCATCCATAAGATGATCACCTACGTGCAGAACCTGGAGGAAAAGGACCTAAAAGACAAGGTAGTGCTTCTGAAGTCCCCCTCTTTTGATTGATATCATTTCAATCTACAGAGAAAAGGTATCAGGACGGAAAAAGTTGTTTCCTCCCTAGTTATACTTGGTTCCTCATGTGTTCCTTAGCGTCTGGTGAGCATCCCAGATCTGCTGTCGGCCATCAAGCTGCTGTGTATGCGCTTCCAGAGGGAGCTGGTTACTGTGGTGGACGACCTGCGTCTGGACACGCTGCTGCGCATGCTCAAAACCCCCCACTTCTCTACCAAGATGAACTCCCTCAAAGAGGTCAGCTCCTAGAGGAAGCCATCTCTCAAATCTGAACTTGGATCAGTTTTATTAACTGAAATTGCACTCTGTTTTTTTTCATATCAGGTGACAAAGTTGATAGAGGAGAGTACAGTGTCTAAGACGGTGAAAAATGCCATTGACACAGATAAACTGTTGGACTGGCTGGTGGAGAACTCAGTCCTATCAATAGCGCTGGAGGGTAAGAATATCCATCCCTTCCCTCCATGAGATGATCCAATTTAAGTGTGTCACAAAGTGCTTTGCAACACATTTAAACCGCATTGAACTTTTGTAACCACTTAAAAGCAAGGCAGGCATCATAACAATTAGGCTTTTGGCCTTTGTTTGACAGTACTCACAGTGGTCATTAAATATCTTTATGCACCAGGTAACATCGACCAGGCTCAGTACTGTGAGAGAATAAAGGGAATCATTGAGCTGCTGGGGAGTAAACTGTCCCTGGACGAACTCTCCAAGATCTGGAAAATCCAGGTCAGCACCAGAACACACACACACACACACACACACACACACACACACACACACACACACACACACACACACACACACACACACACACACCAGTAATAACACTGTCTTGTGTGTGTTATTTATTATTCTCATTAAGCATGGTGTGAACATGTTTTCCTTGTGTAATATGTACACTTTAAAACTGAACTGTTTGCATAATGATGTATATTAAAAACATAATTGATACTGTATGTATTTATATCAATTGTTAGCACATATTTCACGAGATAAAATAACAAATGTCCTGCTTTTGATGCATCTGTTGATTATGGTGTGATCGTCTCAGGCGGGCCAGTCATCAACAGTGATAGAAAACATTCATACAATCATCGCCGCTGCTGCTGTGAAGTTCAGCTTTGATCAACTCACCCACCTCTTCGCCCTCATACAGAAGGTCAGTGCCGTCTCTGTGACATTTTGTGAGTAACTTGGCTCAATGAAGAGTTGTTTGTTCGTCTGTGTTTAGTGTTAATAATCTGTTTGCATGTGTTTCAGAGCTGGGAGGTTGAGAGTGACCGTGTGAGGCAGAAGCTGCTCAGTCTGATCGGGAGGATCGGCAGAGAGGCTCGCTCTGAAACCACAACAGGGAAGGTGGGTTGGTATATCTGTCATTCTGGATATGAAAATCCACAGTATGTTAGAGTTCATTGTTAAAGTCTGGAGTGTGTGTGTTTAGGTGCTGGAGGTGCTGTGGGAGTTGGCTCACCTCCCCAGCCTGCCTACCAGTCTCGTTCAGCAGGCGTTGGAGGAGCACCTGGGGATCCTGAGCGACGCCTACGCTGTCAAGGAGACCGTGAAACGCAATTACATCATTAAATGTATTGAGGACATTAAAAAGGTGAGACAGACGTGCTACAGATGCCTAGCATTGTCTCTGTAGATGTGGGGGCGAGTGTTTGTTGCCGTTTAGTGTTTCACAAGGTCGTTATAGGAGATGCTCTTAAATAGTAAACATAGTGGTTGTTTAGAATACTTTCGTACAGATAGGAAATCACTGTTCCTTGTTCAGTTAAAAAATGCAGCTCGACATGTTAAAAGGAAACGACTGCATGGGGGGCCCCAACCTTTTTCTGCTTCTTGTGACACTTTTGTTCTAAAGTTAGCATGCCGCTGTTAGTTCATGACCTTTTTACTTGAGTTTGTTTTTTATCTAAGTTTGCCCAAGTGTCCCTGGAGCTGCAGTGAATAACGGAGAAAAGCCAACTCTGGCTGACAACAATAGTCCATCATAAGTTTAAAAAAAGAAAATCTAAAATATTCCATTATCGAGATTCATTTCTTATTTCCTCTCTTTCTGACCATGCAGAGACACAATGTAACAAGGTGGTGGATGTCACTTGATTACACTTATTTCCAATCTTTCACGTCATATATTGTGATGAAAATCAGTTCTTTAAAAGAGCACTTTCACTTTATTGATTAAAGTTATTATTGAACAGTCACCATCGATTACCTTAAACCTTCCCATTTAATGTTTATAAGCACTACATAACATACATGGTAGCATGTTCTACACCATTTTATTAGCAATTAGCAGAACGGTTGATTCATGTATTTTTCAAACTCCTTCTCACTGGGGAGTGGAGGCTGGTGTATGAACAGTTCATAAATGACCATGTAATAAAACACAGTTATAATGTAAACTATGTTTTAGAGGTGATGGTATAATTGTTGACGTAAACTAACATGAATAAACACTGAATATCTTGACATTCTAATCAAAATATCCTCATAGGGAATTACAAGTACATATGTTATAAATGATTTATAAAATGTTTATAAATTACTTATTAATGATAAATAGCCAAACTTAATCTAGATTGTTACCAAATAGGCTAGATTAATTTTTTGGATATTGAAATTATTAAGTAATTTTTATATGAATGAATGTGTATTTTTTAATTTAAATACTGGAAGGGGACTAGTTAACTTTTGTTCAGTGCACCTTAAATAAAATGTATGTTTCCAGACACACATTCAGGACGACTGTAAAGGCAGCGACACTCAAAGCTTATTTCTTACCGGCACTTGGAGCAAGAAGAAAGCTAACTCGTTGGCCAAAGTAAGAGAAGAAGCTCCTATAATTCATAATTCCACTGAAAAATCTGTTTTAAAATCTCGCTGCTTCACACCTGCAAACCAATCGTGGAGGAGGGCTTGACCACAAAGGGGTTTCATTGGTCACAGGTTGATAATCCCACACTTGTTTCTAACAGCAAGTAGTGTAACCAGGTGTGTGTTAATCTTCTGCTTGCCTCACCGAGAGGGCCTTGGCACTGACTAATGACTACACTGTGGTGTTGATCTTGTCCTGGGGCGAGCTGGCTGGTTTTAAAAAGTGATTTAGCTTCTGGATGAATGGTCAGCTTTGGTGGAAGTGCCCCGCACATTTACTCATGCAAAGAGGAATCTAATCAGAGCCTTGGATACATAAAAACAGAACATGTTTGATATTTAATTTGGCCTTTTAAAAGGGGTGTAAGGGAACACATTTAAACATAAGCATATTCAAACAGGCAAAGTCTCGTCCAATGTTTTACCTCTCTGGCTCTGGTTCTGTTCCTCCTGGTTTACACAACTACACAAACAGTGGGTCTGTGATGACAAAGCAATCCCCTTATAACATCTGATTTGCACATGTTTGTGTGCTCACTCTGCTGCCGGGATATCATTATCTTTTGTGTGTTTGTGTGTGTGTGTTTAACAGGCGTCTCAGCCGAGCGCTCCTCAGGCAGTGTGGGTTGTTCCTGCTCTCCGTCAGCTGCACGAGATCACTCGATCTTTCATCAAGCAGACCTATCAGAAACAGGACAAGGTAACACAGAAACGTGCAAACAGATATTGTTTTTCAATTCAAAGCTTCTTTTTAAACTCATATTTGATGACGTCTTCACCCTAAAATGAAATGTTGTGGTTATATGAATGTAATTGAAGGTTCCTTTAGATTGCTGCTTTACAGCACTGTTGATACCTCTGAATGCCTTCTTTTGTGTGAAGCAAGCAGGAGTTCAAACTATTTATATTTTATTTATTTTATGTTGTGAATTTTAGAAACAAATACATCAATCTTTTTAAACATTTCAACTTTCCGACCTTATAACAATGTGAAGTTATTAGAAATGTTTGGATCACACAAGTTCAAAAGGATCTTGTGCACTCAAATTAAATTCTTCAAAGATAATACTAATAATATTAGTGTCGCCTAATCTTTACCTGCCACAGACACACAAACACAATAAAAAAAAAAAAAAATGCTGCTCAACATTCGAATGTATTTATAATTTGAGTTTCAACTTTATGAATACAGCTTTTAGGCGTCAAACAAATACATCTTGAAATGATGGTATAGTAGATGCTAACGTTCCCCTGCCTCCCAACAGAGCATCATTCAAGACTTGAAGAAGAACTTTGAGATTGTGAAACTGATCACAGGATCCCTTGTGTGCTGCCATCGGCTGGCTGTGACCGCGGCGGGAAATAGCGGCCTCTCAGGCTCCACTCTGGTGGACGGGCGGTACACCTACCAGGAGGTATACTCTCGTGTTTTTGTGAATTTGAATTTAGTAGCCAGTGCTATATCCAAATTGTTTTAAATGTGATATCCAGTGTAATTACATTGATGCTATTCTATGGAGCTGTATAGCAAACCATTTCAATCCATAATTTGAAAGTGATATGAGTAATGTCATTTGAGGTATAATTTGATCTGAGTTGGTTGGTTTGGAACAGGAAGTAATTATACTGGAGCAGCACAGTGTATGTTGACAGTTTGAGCGTCAGGGTGACATGCTTCTCTCTGAATCTATGTGTTTAGTATCTGGACAGCCACCTGCGCTTCCTGGCCTTCTTCCTCCAGGAGGCCAGCCTCTACCTGGTGTGGAACCGGGCCAAGGAGCTCTGGGAGTGCCTGGTGTCGGGGCCAGATGTCTGTGAACTCGACCGTGAGGTATGAACAGAGTTATGATAATGAATGCTCCGGAGGAACAAAGGCACTGCAAATATTTGATGTTTGCTCCGGTCTCGGCTTTATTTTAGAACAGTATTCAAGACAAATGCAGAAATGTACATTCAATTTAGTTGATAATAAAGACTTTTGGAACATGATAATGCAGGTTTTTTTTGTTCATCTTGCTGTTTTGAGTGTTTGCTGTACATTTTGTACAAAAATCTTCCAAGCAAAGCCAATGTCAGGGAAGGCACTGTGTACAGAAGTCAAGTCTTGTTAAAAAAATGGTCTTTATTGCACTGACCTTGAGCACCCAGTTCTGTCCCAGTGTGAAATGTTGTCTTTTCATGGTTAGGTGTATATGTTTGCATTTCAACTGAAATGTAAAATAAAGTGTAACCTTGAACATAATGTTTCGATGTGTGCAGATGTGTTTCGAGTGGTTCACCAAAGGACAGCATGACCTCGAGAGTGATGTTCAGCAGCAGCTCTTCAAGGAGAAGATCCTAAAGCTGGAGCCCTATGAGATCACCATGAACGGTGAGCCACTCTGCAAGAGATGCACTGACAACAGCATTACAGCCTTTCAGGAATAGTTCATGAATAAGTGTGTGATGCAGCATTTAACCTGTTTTCTGTATTTCCCAGGTTTCAATCTGTTCAAGACCTTCTTTGAGAACGTGAATCTGTGTGACCATCGCCTCAAACGCCAGGGAACTCAGCTGGTCAGTCCTCCCTCACATTTAGTTTTTTCATGCAAGACTATTTTCCTTCTCAGTGAGCGCTGATATGCACTGACAATATGTATCGAGGTATAACACATGTGTTCTGATTTCAGTGTGTGGAGCGTCTTGACCTGGCAGGGATGGATTTTATCTGGCGCATCGCCATGGAAACCCCTGATGAAGAAATAGCCAATGAAGCAATCCAGCTAATTATCACATATAGCTACACCAACCTCAATCCCAAAATGAAGAAGGTCAGTATATGTGCGAGCGTATATACTCCTGAGGCTCACTCACTCTTGTCGTATCATCCTCTCATGTGCGTCACCTCATTTGAGAATAACAGTGTATTTTAAGATGCTGCACATCTTGTGTTAGCCATTATTGGACATCATTAAGCTCCTGATGCATAGGAGTATTTTGTGGTATGTAGTGAAGCTTGAAAAGAACAAATACTGAACTACAGAATTCCAGTGTTAACACACTTATGATTTGGTTTGTCTGCCTTTTTGAAACCTTAAAGCACATTTAATATGAACTTTTACTTCCTCACAGGATTCCGTGTCTTTGCACAAGAAGTTCATTGCTGATTGTTACAAGCGACTGGAGGTAAGAGGCAGAAACAGTTGATTACTGTGCGGAGTGATTGTGCCCTTTCACAGTAATCAACACCTGAAAGCTCATTTCTGTTTCCCTCCCAGGCGGCAAGCTCGGCCCTCGGAGGGCCTACTTTGACACATGCTGTTACCAGGGCGACCAAGATGCTGACGGCCACTGCCATGCCGACTGTGGCCACATCTGTACAATCACCATCCAGGTACAGAGGGGGGTTTGGGTAAGAGCATAGTCACTTAAAACCTTTTTGAACCATGTTTGTGTACGATTGCTCCTATTCATTACAGAGTAAAATGATCCTGGGCTACTAGAACATTTTATTTTTCAGTTTTGTTCAAACGATTATGTTTATATTAATCTGTAGATCCACTAAACTGGTGATAATCGAAAGACTGCTGCTACTGGCTGAACGCTACGTCATCACTATAGAGGTAGGCATCTTATTTGCTTTAAGGGTTTCATTATTAAAGGGTCTATTATGTTGACAATAAATATGTTTGTTATATATGAGAAGCAAGGACATAGAGTTATTGTGTGTGTTTGTTTCTGTAGGATTTGTACTCAGTTCCTCGCACTATTCTACCTCACGGGGCCTCGTTCAATGGACACCCTGTCGCTCTTCACATCACCTACGAGTCAACCAAAGACACTTTCACCTTAGAGGTATTGTACAACTTTGTCTAGTAGAGCTCTACTGAATGGCTTTTGTTTATTTTTATAATCAAAATGTTGTTTGTAGTGTCTGAACAAAGCTTCAAATGTCTCATCTGTTGTTTTAACATCATCATCCTACATCCCGCGGGAGAGAACTTTTTTTTTTAACTTAATTTGCACTTCTCAATTCGAAGTAGTTCCACGAGGAACTCTTCTTTGAACGTACCGCTTTGTTCATCTTTAGTTGTGTTGTTCTCACTGTTCTGTATTTCGCCAATAAATCAATCGCACGTGTGACGGAGAGGGGGTCGGTGTGTAGCAGGCAGTCTGCGCTGTGCGCAGCCTGCGCTGCTGGCTTCCTCCAAGTTTACAGTAAAACAAACTGGTGGTGTGACCAATGGCCATTTACAAGTATTAATACTATTATTAGCATTAGTCTATATTTTGGTTGAAACTAAGCCAGGAAAAAAAAGAAAAACATAAATAATAATAAAAATATATATAAATAAAATCGATTTTTAAAAATAATTTTCGATTATGGAGACTGTAACGAATATTCGAAAAATCGAATAATCGCTGGCATCCCTAACATAAATACATGTGAAGTTAAACAAATGTAATGTATGGTACTGTTAGATTGCTGCTAGACTGCCTTCTTAATACTGGCGCTTGCCTCCCTTTCAGTGCAACAAGTGGGAGATTTAACTCAGAACATTTATTTGAAAAGGTTGAATGCCAGAAGGTATGGATTAAAACACAAACGCTGGAGTTAGTGGATATGTTTGTGTCGGAAAACAATCCCACGCAGACACCACTGGAATTTAATTCTACAAATAGCATTATGCTAATAATATTAGTCTAGCATAATCTTTATCTGCAGCTGGACGGGGAAACGCTGCAGAGCATACAAATGTTGATTTTTTTTAATTAGAATTTCTAATGTTGTGTTTGAACTATTTGCTACAGCCATATTTCCTAATGCCCTATAGTTCACCTTTCTCGTGTAGAGAAATAATCCTGTGTGTGTGTGTCCTGCAGACGCACAGCAATGAGACAATAGGAAGTATCCGATGGAAGATATCCGAGCACTTGAGCTGTCCGGTGGATAATGTCCAGATCTTTGCTAACGACAGTGTGGTAAGTCTCAACGAGTCTGTTTGTGACGGGGACTCTGTGTCTCTTTGTTATTAAAAACACAATTGTATCTTTCATTCAAGTGTAGTGTTGTTCCGCTGCATCTACAGTGTGGCAGGGGAAACACAGCTTTGAACAACCTCAGTCCCCGTTTTTCCTCTCACTCCGTCCCTTCACTGCTCCTCCTCCATGTTTTAGATGACCATGAACCGGGACCAGAAGCTGCTGTCCCAGCTGGGTTTCAATGACGAGCAGAGCCTCACTGTGAAGAGCTCGGGCACCGGCACCCCCTCTGGCAGCTCCGAGTCCTCGGCCTCGGCCTCCAGCAGCTCCAGCTCCGCAGTCTTCAACTCTGCCTACGCCTTGGAGCAGGTACCACATCAGACGTGACCGTGCACCGATACAACTGTTGAAACAATCAGGTTTTCTTGCTTTTGACACACATGTTTTTCTGTCTCCAGGAGAAGTCCCTGCCCGGTGTGGTGATGGCTTTAGTGTGTAATGTTTTCGAGATGCTTTACCAGCTGGCTAATCTAGATGAAACCAGGTGAGAGTGGTTCATTAACATACACCTTGTTGACAACAAGACAGACACCGACTGAATATTAATCAGTCAGTGTGTTTTTAATCTCCAGGATCACTCTTCGTGTGAGGAAGCTGCTGCTGCTGATTCCAACAGACCCAGAAGTGCAGGATGCTCTCGATAACTTTGTTCCCAAAGAGTCCAGCGTCTGGAGCCACCAGGTACATCAGACTGTGACGCGCTCAGGTCGTGTGGTAACTACCATGGCTTAACGTTCAAGCTCTCAGTTCTCTTTTTACATTCTTATTTTGCTTTTTCCTGTGTTTTAATCAATCTATATCCATCTTTCCTCATTTCTCTGCTTTACACATTCTTTCCTTCTCCATCATCTGTCATTGAGTGATTTGCCTAACTCCCTTTATGTCTGCTTGATATAGAAGACACTGTTCCAGGGCACAGGCTCTCGCTCTCCGTCGATGTCCTCCAAGCAGCAGCACCAAGCGCCGAGTGCTGCATCCATCTTAGAGTCTCTCTTCAGGTCTTCTGCCCCGGGCATGTCCACCTTCAGAGTGCTGTACAACTTGGAGGTACGTGCTCACACAACATCATGCATCAAGCTTCCTTTTTTCAACACATCACACACAAAAGTTTAGTAGCTTAACATGTGTTTCCCTCCCTCTCCTCTCTCTCTCTGTCTCAGGTGTTGAGTTCAAAGCTCATGCCCACCTCTGATGATGAGATGGCCAAAACCAGCAGCAAGTCCTTCTGTGAGAACTTCCTTAAAGCAGGAGGCCTCAGGTAACGGAGTACAACAGACCTGTTAATGAAAAGTGTTGTGTATGTGTGGAGTTTGACACGTCAAACTGCGTCACATACTGATCCACATTTGCCACCTAGCGTAAGCTTTCATGTAACACTTCTCTGTGTTTCCTCTGCAGTCTGGTGGTGAATGTTATGCAGAGAGATTCCATCCCATCGGAGGTGGACTATGAGACCAGACAAGGAGTCTACTCAATCTGTCTTCAGTTGGCCAGGTATAAAATGCCTCACACACACACACTGGGCTATATGTTTTGATTTAAGACAGAAAGTGCATAGCTCTGATCTTACCAGAGTTAGCTTAGAGCTTACTTACATCTCTTGTCCCTGGGCAGAAAATAAATATTCATCTCTGTAGAGAAATGAATACTTTACTTTACAACAATGGCAATATCATTAAGGCAGCACAACTATCCACAAGATATCAGAACATTGAGAATGAATTCCTGCATGGTGGGTTTGATTATAGTCATGATTTCTCCTAGAATCTCTAATCAGTGGAGCTACAGCAGCTTGCATAACTTGATACTGAGCTTCTTGCTCTGATAGTGAAGAGCAGATCTGCCAAACTCACCTCTGTTGTTAGTCTCATTATCTGAGTTCATGGCCACATACTGACTCAGACTTTCTACTTATCTGTCTTTGTTTGCAGGTTTCTTCTGGTTGGGCAGAGCATGCCTGCAGCGCTGGATGATGATGTCATCAGAGATGGCGAGTCGCTGTCATCTCGTCCGTTTCGTAACGCTGGACGGGCCGGGCGACAGCTATCTCTCTGTGGAACTCCAGAGAAGTCTTCTTACCGACAGATGTCGCTCTCTGAGCGCTCCTCCATCAGAGTGGAGGAGATCGTACCGGCCGCTCGTGTAGCTATTCAGGTGAAACACACTTGTTACCATGACAAACACACCATTCATTAAGCACCCTGATTGACCTTGTTAACATTTACATATTTAATGTTCTCTTTTGCAGACCATGGAGGTGGGTGACTTCACTTCCACTGTGGCCTGTTTCATGCGTCTGACCTGGGCAGCTGCAGCCGGCCGATTGGACCTGGTCGGCAGCCCGCAGCCAATCAGAGAGACCCACAGCTCCCTTCTGCCGCAGGGAGTCCGCACCAGAGTCAGCAGTACAGGTGACAGAAAGCACCATTTCAATATGATTGTATGTCCTTTTTTGTATTTTTAGTTTTTTTTCTTTTGAAGCATAAAGGGACTACGACTCATTTTGTTTTTCAATCCTGTGTTGTCGGATAAAGGAACCCTATAACCCTGTAGCTCTTGTTACTATCTCAAATTTGCTTAATCATATAAGATGATGAATTGTTGTGGTGTCAACTAGATGTTTAAAGTCATTAGGTTTTGTAATTTTTCCTGCACAACAAGCATTCCCGTTAAGTCACAAACAAAAGCTAAAGATAATAAATCCCTTTCTTTCTTTTCTTTGTCTGTTTGCAGGAAGTAACTGCAGCTCCAGCAGTGAAGGGGAGACCCCGCCAACAGCGTTGCATGCTGGGATATGTGTGAGACAGCAGTGTGTCTCAATTAAAGACACCATCATCGCCCGCGAGGCTCTGTCCCTGCTGGTCACCTGTCTGCAGTTACGCTGTCAGCAGCTATGTAAGTCTCATTTAGAAACTTGAATACACAACAAGAGCTTTACATTGCCGTAAGTCCAGTGGAATAGTACTGTAGTTTAAGAGGTTGCTGTGTTTTCTCAAACTTCTACAATATCACTAAATCCTCTGTTTTTTTTTTTCTCTCTTCAGGTTCTTTTTACAACCTTCCCTCAGTCAATGATTTCATTATTGATGTCTTGCTGGGATCTCCCAGTGGAGAGGTAAACAACGCCCTTCTTTCCTTAAATAGCCAGCAAAGAATAAATATATCCGTAACACTGCAGTGTGTGTTTACACTTGTGCTCTCTTTTCCTTTCTCTATCAGATCCGCCGGGTAGCTTGTGATCAGCTCTACACTCTGAGCCAGACCGACACCTCAGCCTTCGCCGAAGTCCAGAAGCCCAACCTGTTCCTGATCTCAGTCGTCCTCACTGCTCAGCTGCCGTTATGGAGTCCTACATCTATTATGAGAGGCGTCAACCAGAGGTAACCAAGCGAGAAACACTCAAAACATAACTCCCCGAATCTTCAGCAGAGGTCTTATGTTGACTTTTTCTTCTTAGGTTGCTGTCCCAATGCACTGAGTACTTTGACCTAAGATGTCAGCTTCTGGATGACCTAACCAGTAAGCCTTTCAATTTCCTTTTCGGTCACTTTTATCGATCGAATAGAGAGGTTATAGCCTCCTGTTTAAACGACTAAAGATCAGTGTGTCATACAATCTCTCCGCCTTCCTTCCTCTGTCCCTCTCTGCCTCCTTCAGCCTCAGAGATGGAGGTGTTAAAAGTGAGCGCAGCCACCATGCTGGAGGACGAGATCTCTTGGCTGGACAACTTTGAGCCTAGTTGGAGCTCTGAGATGGAGACCAGCGAGGCGGACAACATCCTCCTGGCAGGACACCTCCGTCTCATCAAGACCCTGCTCTCCCTCTGCGGCAACGATAAGGAGCATCTCGGTGAGCACAGATAAATATCAGAACCCGTTCAACACTTTCTGGAAGATTATGAAATTGAGAACAGTAATATGTCATTTGACTCTTTTCTTTAGGTCAATCTCTGATTCAGCAGTTGTTGGATGACTTCCTGTTTCGAGCCTCGCGCATCATCATCAACAGTTCAAACCCCACCCCCTCCCCGGCCCCCAGCCACGACTTCCACCCAAAGTATGCACATAAATAATTGTATTCATCTTTTGGAGCAATGGAAAAAACACTGGAAAACATGAACCTTTTTGTCATGTGTGTGGTGCGTTCAGGTGCAGCACGGCCAGCAGCAGACTGGCGGCCTACGAGGTTCTGGTGATGCTCGCAGACAGCTCGCTCTCAAACCTCCGCCTGATCGTCAAAGAGCTCATGACCATGCACCACCAGTCTGATCCTTCCCTCTGCAAGGAGTTCGATGTAACACACCAGTTTGACTAATCTTTATTACAATGATACTTTTCAATAAGAGATGAATTGAACTCCTTGTGCCTCTCTCTCTCTCTCTCTCTCTCAGTACCTCCCTCCAGTAGAGAGCCGCTCAGTGTCCGGGTTCGTTGGGTTGAAGAACGGCGGCGCCACATGTTACATGAACGCTGTGTTTCAGCAGCTCTACATGCAGCCGGGTCTAGCAGAGGTACACATGTGCGCTTTACCCTCTGTGTTCTGCTCTTTGACTTCCACACACTGGATCTAATAATACTGAATATGTTTGCTGGGTTTAAAGGCTTTCCTGTCCATCGAGGAAGACACGGATCAGCCGGAGGAGAGCGTCTTCTACCAGGTCCAGTCTTTGTTCGGCCACTTGATGGAGAGCAAACTGCAGTACTACATACCCGAGAACTTCTGGAAGGTAAGAGACACTTCAGATTGTACTGTCAACCTCAGGTGTAGCTGCACATATGTGGGAATTGTCATAAAGGTGCAAAGTCGAAATCTATTTACATGGGGAAGAAACATTTACCATTATTTGTATCCAGCTATAAGTGGGTTTATCTTATTGAGAACTGAGCCGTGTTCAGGTTCAGGTTATTTATTTGTTATTTATAGACAAGGGATCCATCCTGACACACTCTAAAAATAAACAACAGACTCATCTCTAATAAAAGGACTAGTAAAAAGTACAAGTATACCCTGCTCAACCAAATCTCAAAATATTTCAAAAACATTTTAAGAAGGAAAACACTAGTACAAACATGGACATTCAAAATTCATTATTAAATAAATAAATACAAATAGGCACCTGTGTGACGCTCCTATGATGTGTTAATGTGTGCAATAGCTGCTGGGATAAAACAGTTTTTACACCGCTTCGTTCTACTCTTTGGGACAACTAACCTCCGGCCCCAAGGTTTACGATTGACTATGCCTCGTATATGCCCCTCTCAGCAATAAGAGTATAATAAATCACAAAAGCATTGACTATTATCTAACTGCAAATGGGTTTTGCCTTTTTCAGATCTTCAAGATGTGGAACAAGGAGTTGTATGTACGAGAGCAGCAGGATGCTTACGAGTTCTTCACTAGCCTGGTGGATCAGCTTGACGAACATCTCAAGGTAAAACCCATGCCCATTACAGCAAATGAAAAAACAATAGCTAGGTTCCTAATTAGTTATGATTGTGTTATTAACAATGAGTCTCCTATCCACCAGAAAATGGGTCGGGAACAGATCTTCAAAAACACATTTCAAGGAATCTTCTCTGACCAAAAGATTTGTAAAGACTGTCCTCATCGGTGAGCAAGAATATTTGTTCATCAAAATGCAAAACGTTTTTTATTTTGAGACACACACAGGTGAGGTTTGACCTTTTTGATATTTTCCTCTGCAGATACGAGCGTGAAGAAACATTCATGGCTTTGAACCTCGGAGTGACGTCTTGTCAAAGCTTAGAGATCTCTTTGGACCAGTTTGTCAGAGGAGAGGTGCTGGAGGGCAGCAATGCCTACTACTGTGAGAAATGCAAGGAGAAGGTGTGTGTGTGTAGTGCTCTACATATAATTGTGTTCAACCTCACTGATATCGTGCCTACCTACAATGTTTGCATTTGTTCATCCGCACAGAGAACCACAGTGAAGAGGACATGTATCAAATCCCTGCCCAGCGTTCTCTGTATCCACCTCATGCGCTTCGGCTTCGACTGGGAGAGTGGACGCTCCATCAAATACGATGAGCAGATCAGGGTACGAAGCCTCAAATCTCACGTCACTAAGATACTGTGCTGTGCTTAAATCAACTCAAATCCCAGAAATAATGTATACAATGCTGTGTTATTGGTGCACAGTTCCCCTGGGTGTTGAACATGGAGCCGTACACCGTCTCTGGGATGGCTCGTCAGGACTGCAGCGGAGAGGCCAGCGAGAGTCGAGGCGACGGGACCTCAGGAGGGTCACCCCGAAAGAAAGTCACGATTTCTGAGAACTACGAACTCGTGGGAGTTGTAGTCCACAGCGGTCAGGCACATGCCGGTCACTATTACTCCTTCATTAAAGATAGACGGTAAGAGACACTGTATTTTTATTTATTTATTCATTTATGTAACAGGGACAGTGCACATTAATCAACTGTTCTGTAAATGTGCCAGAGTTAGCCAAGAGGCTATTTTTCATCTGTAGTCCAGTGTTTCCCATACATTGATTTATTTGTGGCGGGCCGCCACAAATAAATATCGTCCGCCACAAATGGATCTCATAAAAATAAAAAAAATTATTTTTATTTATTATTATTTTTTATTTGATTTTTTTGTTTTGTTGGTAGTCTAATGGATAGTGAAGTGGGCTGATGATCGGAAGGTTGCGAGTTCAAATCCTGCCTGGAACACCACTACTAGTGTGTCCTTGAGCAAGGCACTTAGCCCTCGGTTGCTCCAGGGAGAATGTCCCTGTAATTGATCATTGTAAGTCGCTTTGGAATAAGGCGTCTGCTAAATGCCTGAAGTAAATTGTAAATGATATTTTTGGGAGAATAAACTCCACGGATCCTCAACTCTGGTGTGTTTCACTCATTAACAACGCAACACAGAGCAACAAGATCGTTGTCTACAGTAGCCATGAACTCGCATGTATTATCTTATTTGAGGGGGGTGGATGCATGGACCAAACAATGGGTTAAGGGGCCTTTGGCTTTTCTTGCCGGGGGGGGGGGTGCTGTGCCCCCACAAATAGAATCAAATTCTGTGGGAAACACTGTAGTCCCTGGGCATATTTTGTAAGTCAACCTAAAGACACATTTCATTTTAAACAAGTAAATACAATCAAATAAAAACATGCGACATGCAGTACTGGAAATCTTAATAAAAAAACATAACAATAAATCAAAACAAAATGCTAAAACACAGGCAGTGTAGACAGACAGTGGGTTGTAAGGTGCACAATTGTGTCAGTGTTGTGACTCCTCACTAACCAGGTTTTGAATTGGGATTTAAATAAACTAAATGTAGTCTGGTCTCTGATAGTAGATGGGATTGAGTTCCATTGCTTTTCCCGAGTGGAGTCAGAGGTTCCTTCACTCCTCCCTCATTTAATTGGCTCATATTATACATTAATAATCTAAATATTCTGAAAATCAAACGCATGTATTGTATGATTTGCTTGTCAGAGTTACAGGCTGCAAAGTTCCCTGTTTGTATTTTCCAGCTCCTATTCCTACTTTAGATTCACCTAACCAGTGATTAGCTGAGCTCATTAGTCTGTTGCATCAGTTTTCCAGGCACATTTTAGGGGACCTCCTTCGAGCACATGAATGCAGGATCAGACTTTGTGTGGGCAGTTCTGGTTTAGTTGGTAAGCATCTCCAGATGTCTGGCTCTGGAAAGCAGGATTGCTCACTGGAGCGTTGGAACATAAAGGGACCGCAGGAGCTAATATCTGGCAGCCCTGCTCTCGCTCTCCCGTTTGTTCCTATCCCCGCTCAATACTACGACAAAGAGAGTTTCTAATAAGGACGCTGATGTCTTTCCAAATATGTAGTCATTGAGACTTGTTGTAGAGCTCCTTTCAAATTCTGTTATCATTGATGTCAGTAGATTCCAATTTAAAGTTGAAAGGTTTTGTTGTTATATGTGCAACAGTTAAAGCGTAGTAGTTTGCAATGAAAATCTTATTTCCCAGGCAGCTCCATCAGTCTAATAAACAAGTGACAAGAGATCTGTGTGTGTTGAGGCTGAACCTGGACATCACACAATGGTCCTGCAATATGTTGACCAGGTATATCATATGCTACATTTCAAATCCTCTTCATGTGTCCTTATCTCTTAGTGGCAGCGCTCGTGGACGTTGGTACAAGTTCAACGACAACGTGGTGGAGGAGTTCGATATGAATGACGAAACTTTGGAGTATGAGTGCTTTGGGGGAGAGTACCGTCCCAAAGTGTACGACCAATGTAAGTAACATCTGACATCTAAAGCACTTAACCTCCCATGTATACATGTTCAAGACATATTATTACTTTGATTTGAATGGCTTTAAAATGTGTTCTGATGACACTAAATGATGTATTTGTTAAACTCATGAGGCACACAAGTCACCTTGATGTTTGTGTGTGTGTGTGTGTGTGTGTGTGTGTGTGTGTGTGTGTGTTGCAGCTAACCCATACCCTGATGTGCGGAGGAGATACTGGAACGCCTACATGTTGTTCTATCAGAAGATCAGCGACCAGAACTCGCCCGTCCTGCCCAAGAAAAGCAGAGTCAGCATCATGAGGCAAGAGGCTGAGGACCTTACACTGTGAGTGAACCTCACACGTAATACTTTACTCATTTTAGAATAGAAAAACATTTATATATTAATTACGATATTTAGAGAATCAGCATTAGGATCATTCCCAGAAAATGTCACCAGTGCACAGCCTCGTACTAACCAGCCTGTTTCTCTTTATTTTCCAGTTCTGCCCCGTCCTCCCCTGATGTTTCTCCACAGTCCTCTCCTCGACCCCCCAGGGCCAACAACGACCGCCTCACCATCCTCACCCGCCTGGTCCGCAAGGGAGAGAAAAAGGGACTGTTTGTAGAGAAGATGCCCGCCAGCATTTATCAGGTAAAGGCGTCAAGATATAAGAGGCCTTAAAGGGGACCTATCATGCAAAATGCACTTTTTGATGTCTTTTATACATAAATGTGTGTCCCCGGTGTGTTGGGGAACTCGCACAGCGTCAGAAAACAAAACCCTCTCTCTTTTCCTCCGTACCCAAATCTCTAAAATCTCGGGGCTACAACGGAGCTGATCCAGATTTGCGTCCGATATGACGTAATATCTGAAATGTGGNTTGCTATATCCAAATGTGAATGACCGATGTAAAGGGGACCTATCATGCAAAATGCACTTTTTGACATCTTTTATACATAAGTATGTGTCCCCGGTGTGTCGGGGAACTCACGCATCGTCAGAAAATAAAACCCTCTCTCTTTTCCTCCGTACCCAAATCTCTAAAAACGGGACTACAATGGAGCTGATCCAGATTTGCGTCCGATGTGACGTAATATCGGAAATGTAGGCTGGCTTTACACCCACGGCCCTATCAGAAAGTTGCTATCAGAAGCAATGCCCGACTGTTTTGGACGTAATATGGTCGGTGCATGTTTACATTAGCATCGCTAACACTCAGAGCTAACCTGTACCGCACAGCATGTGTGTGAAGAAACAGGAAATAAAAAGGAACTCACCTTGTGGTATAGCCGGCAAGAGAGAAAGCCTTTGAGCTCCATACTGTTTCAGAAATAATCCTCGATAATCCATGATATGGCGTTTCATCACCGCAGTATCTGCCGGTAGCATCTCCCGCATGAGCTC